TTATTATATTGTCCTTAAATTCAAATGCGTTCTTTTGAATTTATACTTAGGTTCTTTTAAATTTGTATTTATGTTCTTTCATTCCGTTCTGTCTGGTAACTGAGGAAAATCAGTGAATCTGGTCGAAACGTTCTTAATTTTTATTAACTTCGTTGCTGGATTTATAAAGATGCAAGTTTTTTATGAACTATTTGCCTCCAGTTATTTTTGAATTTCATGACTTGTCATTCCTTTTGAGAACCAAGAGATCGAATCGCACATCCATATATGTGATACTTTCTTTAATTATAAGAAAACAAAAACAGCTGATGTTTTAAAAGTATGTTTAAATTGAGATTAGTCTTCCTTATAATTATCTATAAATACAAATAATTTTTATTAATTGATTTTATTGGTGAAAGCTACAGAAATAAATTTCTTAGAGTTGAGGTGCTATTTTGTGAGCACACTTCTTATGAATGATTTTTATTTTCCCCCCTTCTTACTGGTGGGTAGCATTGTGACAAATTACACAATGTTACACATGTTATTGGTGGGTAGCATAATGACAAATTACACATGTTCACTACATATTATGCAGTGAACAGGCTTCACAAAGTTATGGTAAGTGATAGTGTAAAATTGTGACAAATGTTTTTCACAATATTGCTTAAAACAATAAATTAATGATTAAGAACTATGTATAACGAAAGGGGAATGTTAAATCTTTCCAAAAGAATAATCTGTGTTTGGTCCAATAATCTGATAATTAACATTTAAAAAAAAAACATGAAGTGATAAAAAGTAGCCCCAGTTATGAAATCTACTTACAGTATTATTCTATCATTTTACAGCTTTTCCTAGACAATGGAATTATAACACCAATTGGGAAACTGGAATAATTCAGCGATAAACAGGTCTATCAAAGAACCTTAATTGAATTCCAACGAGATTTAATTCAAAATAAAACTTTTGGACTAATATTTTCAATCTGCAAATGGAGATCATCTTTAGGTATGTATATTTGATAATGGAATGCTTGAATAGAATAATGATGTTTTTTTAAAAATTAAATGAAAATTCTCAAATACATAAAAAAAAAAATAAGTTAATAGTGAGGTATAAAAATAAAAATTAAAAGGTAACCAATCAAATTATATAAATATAAATGAGAACATTCCATTATAATATCAATGTTACTAATGTTACAGTAACATTTTGACATAGAGATATTATAATAAAATGTTCTCATTTATATTTATATTATTTGATTGGTTACTTTTTAATTTTGTACCTCACTATTAACATATATATATTTTTTTTTTTATGTATTTGAGAATTTCATTTAATTTAATTGAGAATTTCAAAAAACATCATTATTCTATTCAAGCATTTCATCATCAAATACAGTAGAGCCTCGAAAACTCGGCACTCCGGATAACTCGGCCATATCTTGGCAGGGCAAAAAAATCCTTAGTTAATTAATTTTCATTATAGACAGCTTTATAAAAGTATAAAAGCTCTCATAAAGTATTTTTCTGAGGTCTGTCTTATCAGGTAAATTACTGTACACAGTGTATTCATTAATTTTCATTTTCATGTAGTAAAGGCGCTACGCCTTCATAATGGACGTACTTTTTTTTTGTTTAAGGGTATTTGGGCAGTTTATTCTCTGTTGTATTCTCAAGCAAACAATACATACAAGTACAATACAATATTTTCTGAGGAAATACGCATACTTATCCTTTTTTAACCCCATTCCCGATAACCCGGCATTTTCACAAACTCGGCCACCCTTCGGTCCACATCAGGCGAGTTTTCGAGGCTCTACTGTATCAAATAAAGATGATCTCCATTTGCAGATTGAAAATATTAGTCCAAAAGTTTTACTTTGAATTAAATCTCATTGGAATTCAATTAAGGCTCTTTGACAGACATGTTTATTTCCTAGACAAGTTGTAAAGCCACAACTTTTCTTCAATGTCCATTACAAATTTTTCTACATCTTATTAGGTAATGCAGAGAACTTGGAGAAGTTTGTATTGATTATTGTTAGTACCATCACAACAATGATTACTTGAATGTTTGGCCAACATTCAAGTGACAAAATATAACAAGATGCAAAGATAATATCTGGTGAGTAATTATGAAAGATGAACAAGAGCATTGCTAGTAACAATAACAAAAGTCTGTGTAAACAGAGCTTTTGTTATTGAACAGTAAAAGTCAATATAAACATGTCTGTCCCAAAAGTAAGTGTATTGATTTTTTATTTCAAAGTACACAAGAGTCACATCAAACTACAAATGATCTCCTTCACAGTAGGACTCTCGTGAGGTCACACAGTGGTTCCAAAGTTTTTTCCACTGGTTGTAGCAGTACTTAAATTTGTTTTCCGTAAGGGTGTATAGTTCATCGGTTACAACTTTTTTGATGTTTTCCACTATCTGGAAATGGCAACCTTTCAACTTGGATTTTATCTTAGAGAATAGGTAGAAGTCACACAGAACTACATCCGGGCTGTAGGGAGGTTGTGAGAGTGTGGGGATTTTTTCTTGGCAAAAATTCTCAAATTGGTAGTATTGTTGAGCAGGCACATTATCACTGTGCAGTATCTAATCTTCTGCAATGTCCCTACAGACTTGCTTGACCCATTTTTGAAATCATTCCAAGACAGCTTTGTGAACAGTAAAAGTCAATATAAACATGTCTGTCCCAAAAGTAAGTGTTTTAGATTAACTGTCTGTCCTGAAGGTAAAACTTCTTTGTGCACAATTTCACAGCTATTGAAAAAAAAACAATAAGCATCATCTTTACCCTGGATCTTTGTGACGTTTAAACACCATGTTCCTCAATAAGTGGCATCTCCATAAGCTTCAGTTAAATCTGCAAATGTCTTGATTGCAACTTTCTTGAGTTTCACACAAAACTTTGATAGCATAACATTGTTCAAGATTTTTCTCCACTTGAAATGCAACAATGTGTTAAAACTAGTGTTGTAACGAATAGTATATTCGGCCTCAGGCCAAATACCGAATATTTGGCCAGGAACATGGCCGAATAGCCAAATATTCGGCCAAACTATTCGGCTTGATTAACGCACGTATGAAAATTGGCGTGCAAACCTCATTTTGGCAAGGACCCAGCTTTCTATTGGCCCCCCGCTGTCACTACGCTTCGCTAATAGCGTTAATTCTTAACAGTTGGCAGGCAATAGCATCATGGCAGTATGTGATAAATGATGATATCAAATGTGAATAACAATGAAATGACCTACACAAGTAAATAACGGAAAAATAACAGAGAAGGACCGCAAAGTGAAAATGTGAAAATAAATATGAAGTTGAGTTGATAACATAATCGAACGAGTCGAAGCAGCTTATTGGCACGAAATTCGCAGCAGTCAATGCCAAACAATTGTTGTCATAGACTTCGGAAAGCTAAATGCTTATAATCAAAGTCACTTAGCATACACGGGCGAAAGCCTGGGACCGTTCGGGCTACCGAGCTGTCTCGAATCTGTGAAATCATAACTGTGACATATACCGACATCCTATCTGTCTCTTTTCTCCATTATCACCAAGCTATGAGCCACGTAATTATAAAATAGAAAAACTACGACAGAAAAGTGACAAATCGAAAGTATCATGAGCGCATATTATGATGTATGCATAGTCATACGTGGACTAGAGAGATGGAGGAAAGAGAAAGGAAAGAGCAAAGACGAGCGCTTAAAAAGGATAGGCAGGGTCAGACCATCACGTGTGCGACAATTCTCGAACAAATAGGTGTGTACGTGTGTTGATCTTTGTAATTATAAATTGTGAATACATGTAACTAATATTATTATTTTCTTTTTTATTTTGTGCATGTTATAAGTTATAAATAAATATAAACAAACAACGCTGACCTGATAACATTAAATCTAAATACCAAAATGATTAATTTATTGTGTTTTTGTTATTTCTTACTCCTGTTTTTAGGTATTCAGTATTCGGCCGAATAGGGTTTAAATATTGGTATTCGGCCGAATAGCAAAAAATAGGCCGAATACCGAATAGTAACTGAATATTCATTACATCACTAGTTAAAACACTATCTTGTACGAAGAGATTGTGCATGTTTGACTTAATCGATTAACTTGAAACAGGTCTATATATGCTGCTACAATATCCAGCAACATAAAAATACCAATTAATGATGTGTTAAGCTGTACAGTCATTAAATAAAAAATCAGTATGCTTACTTTTGGGATAGACCTTGTATGAACAGCAAAACACAAAAAATTTTCATAAGTTGCATTTTGACCTTGACAATCAACATGCATTAATACTGACTGTTGTTTTTTTGTCACCCTTGAGCATAAAACTTAAACCTGAGTAGCATTGTTTTTTTAAACTCATCTTGTAAACATTAAGAGTCTTCTTTTTATACTGGCCATACATGTCTGACCATGCCAACATTCACTCAACTGCTTTATTGTGGTAATGCCTGGCCACAATAAAGCAGTTGAGTGAACAGTTAAGTTTGTTTGTTTGTTTAGTTATGGCAACACAACACTTGGGTGATCTGCCCAGGGAGGTGCTTTCCAAGAAGTCTTTTTAAAGGAAACTTGCTCCTATTTAGGCATTACAGATGTGGAGAAAACCTGGAAAACTCCATGTGGCCAGCCCCTCCAAGCGAGGCATGAACCCACGACCACTCCCAGTTTCAGGGAATGAAGACCACTTGGCCACTGGTGGGCCATGAACAGCTAAGATATTCAGAGCTATATATTCAATATTCAACCATATATTCGAGCTATATCTAAGAAAAATTCCTTACTTTTCTGACACAGACTTGAAGCTGGTTTCCCAGAGTATAAATACTGTTCCTTTACTACTTTGGGCCATCCAGACATTGGTGGTAACAGATGAAAACATGTGATATGTGAAAGAAAACTTCATGGAATATTCCAAATTTTTAACTGATACTTTATTTTTGAAAGTATATTTTAAGATTTGTATTAACATATAATAATATTTAGAGCAAATCAGTAAAATAATTTATTCAATTCTTGAATGAAAGAAGAAAAAAAAAATTAAAACTTATATATATTTCATTAATCTCTAACAAATATTCATCTGTACTTCTAAAATATAAAAAAATTACTGCACATAACAAATTATTATAATCATTATTAGTTTACAAACTTTGTATAAATAAATTAATTATATGCTAATTGATCATAACATATTTAAACACTGCAGAAGAGTGTAATTGAAGATTAGTAAATAATAATAATAGCTAATAAGTAAGAGATGACAGTATGATAAACATGTTGAATTAATTATCAGTATAAGAGACATTATCTGTACTTTTGTCATCTTGGCAAACCTTTTACTATGTCATCACAAATAAGAGGTGTAGTTCCAATAAAAATCACATCAACAAGAATCCATACATTTTTAAAAATCATGGTAGCTGGCTAAAGGTAAATTCACCCTAGAATCATCCAGTCCAACTGTGTCTCCAATAGCTGTTACCACAATAATTGAATATTAATGACAAACAGCAGCAATGGAGAAAAATTTATCAACCAGTGAAGATGTAAATAATAATGTCACATCCACCATAAAAAGTTCTACATTTCATAATAGCATGAATAAAAACATGAATCCAAGAGTGTCCATTTTGCTAAGGCTTACACTGTTTAATAGATAACTGTACAAGTGCATATGCATTTGTCTTTTTGTCATTCTTTTGGAGTATGACAGAACAATTCTAGTATGAATATGCCTTTAAGAAGTAATGGATAATAATTTTGGTAAATGGTCAACTTTTTATTCATCACATTGAGTTTCCACAGCCACATATATGTCAACTTTTAGGAAATATTTAATTCAGTCTAATTACTATTTACATATTTGTAAATAGTAGACTGTCTAGTCATGATATCAGTAGACAGAGATAAATATACTATCAGAAATATTTACAGTCTACTGATATTATGAAGTTGAGGTTGCTAGCCATTTGCAAAGTTGATAAATGTGGTGTTACACCTTATAGTCAAACTCTGGTCAGTATCTCATTTGGAGCAACATGATAATGAATCAAACATCAAACAGTGAATATTGCCTGACACAAATTTGTAGTGCAAATTGGAAAGAAGAAAATAGTTCAATTGAATTAACACAGAAGAGAATTTTTTGTACTGCCTTAATAAATTTATCCTAATATCTTTGACGTATAATTTGATTTTTTTTTATTAGTTTCTGTCCTAAGCCAGAATGTCCTTTTTTTCCTCCATGTCCATCATAAATTTAGCTAAACTCACAACAGGGGGTAGCAACTACTAAGGGACAAACAACATCCACATGTGCTGAATGAATTGCCAATAAAAATTCCCAATATTTCTGACCTGAACTCAAACTTAGATCCCTCAGAATAACAGAATCATATTTTCACCAACTCAGCTATCTGTCAAAATTTGATTATAAAAATCATAAAATAAGCAGAAAATTAGGTAAAGATTAGATCTGAAACTGGTATGAATACTTATAACAGATCAGTTTTTTAATACTAAACAATATAGTTATTTTAAAAATAACTGATAATTGTCTAAAGTTGTGGAAAAGTCTGCCAAAGAAATCTAATAAAGAATTAAAAATAGAACAAAATGGTGTAGCATCAAGTGTCAAATCTATAATTCGAAATCTAGCAGTGAACTTAAGGGAACTCTGGACTAGCAGTGATGGTACCAGACTACATTTGACTACAAATAAGCCTTAATTTAAGACCAGCATCTGTTAAAAATTGAATTAATTAAATATAGACAGCAGACCCCAAATTTACAAGCAATATGACAAATTGCTGGTTGCCAACAGGCCACAGTTGATCAGAACAAACATAGATAAACCTACAGTATGTTGCAATCAATACACATTTCTCACTTCAAACATCTTAGTGACAAAACAAAAAAAAATGATTTGCTGGAAATTCCTATCTTTTAGATGTCTGACCATCTTTTCTTATCTTTTTTGTTTACTATTCACAAACTATATCCATATTTCTGATGTATAAATCCCTTTTTGAAATTAATAGCTTAGTTAACAGACAGAAGTTCTGATTTTCAAGCATCACAATGAATTGCTGGAAAAACATGCATTATTGGAATGAAACATGCATTATCCATTGAATATCTCAACTAATAATAAATGACACTTTCATAAAGACTGATGCAAATCATGGCAGATTCAGCATTAACAATAAGCTAAAGAAATTCTCTCTGTTCATAATTTGAGTCAAAACAGAATATTGGCAAAATCAGTTGTCGATGTTGATCATTTTAATTTTGTGTCTGCATGCATCAAACATAAAATTAATGTTTAGACAGTAATCAGAGTCCTTCCTTTTCAGTGATTTAAGAGGAAAGGACACTGACCCAAATCCAGAGTTACTGATGATGGACAATCTGTATTTGTGGGAAAGGAATGAGTATGTTGGATTAATAAGGAAAATGAGATTTTATTGAAGATTGGTTTGGACTAAAGATTTAGCCAGATTCTGACTGACCCTGCTGTTACCTTTCCACTAATTATGTTTCACTGGTGTAAATAACATCTGTCTTTCTGTTCACAATGCCAGAATGCCTCTCTCCTGGGCAGCATAGTTTCACTGGCAGGAAAGAGAGACAGGCAAGTTGATAGGAATGATTCAGGCTTCACTCTCTCCTGTGTTGGACTCTTCCTCCAGGATGGGCACGATCAGATTGTCCTTGGACATCAGGTTATATTTGGTAACGAAAGAGGTGAAACGACGACATAGGCAAGTTTCACTCTGCAAACAGAAAAAAAAATCATGCTTATTATGTTAATGAATCCATCATATGCAAAAAACAAGACAAGCAGGAGTTTAGTTCCTGACAGAACATTAATTTCTGGAACTAATAAAAAGTTTATAATGAGAAGACTGTTCCATCTTAGTTGGATCCCAATAACCAATAGCTCATCAAATGCTAGAAATGTAAGCTAATGTGCAACCATGTCCTTCTATAATGAAAGGGACAATGTAAGAAAGCAAAACTGGTAGAAGATTTTGTGACTGATGATCAGATCCAATAGTAAGAAATAATTTTAGTCTTTTAATCCAAAATTATAATAGCATACTCCAATAAACAGTTGAATCCCATTTTATAAATGTTTTCATGGGAACTGAGAAAAATATCACATAAGTGAGAAAAATGTACAAATTAAACTATTTTTGAATTTCTTTCAAAGTGAATTTAATTGTCACAAAATTATGGGTGCAGCACAAAACACTGAACAACTGAATTTGTATACAATTTCTTTGTTAAGAATTACGTAATTTATTATATGTATAATACATTTGAATAATATATAAAAGTAAAACAGTGTAAACTTAAATCATATACTTTTAAAAATTGATTGAGTTTTGTTTGTTTCTTGTTTTTCAATGGGTTTGTCATATATTAGTAGAGTATACAGCAGACATGAGCAAATGCGGCTCCGAGAGCTGCATGCTCTTTTTGAATTACATGTGGCTCTTTCTGAAAGTGTTAATTTCTGCTTTTTATTATTAACACAAAACGACTTCCAACAACTTAACACTTCGTTGAGTAATAATAATCCATGAAAACCTTTCTGTACTGCTCACGATTATTTACATCTCTGGTGATTTACATCTCTGCGAATGATTATTTACATCATTACGACAGTCAGTCACCACCTGAAGCAGACCTCGGTGGAGGTCGAAAGCGTATGTGGAGTAGTTAAGAACATAACACTTGTACAGAAAGGTTTTTGTGGATTATTATTTTTACTATTATTTTTACAATTTGATTTCTACAATTTTGTGAAAATATGTTTATTAAAAAATTCAATATTTGTTTTATATTATTGGGTTGTTCAGAAAGTAAGTTTGTTTCTTTTTCTGTGGAAAAAAAATATTTTATAATAAATAAATATTTTATTGAATTATATATTGACCAGTTTGGTCAAATACCTGTTGTCATCATTTCTGGTAGTAACATGATTTCACATTCATAAAAGTTTTGATCGTTGCTTACAAAAAACTGATCCAAGTGATTTTTGACATTGTCATTTCAAGTAAATGTCTTACAGTTAAAAAAAATTTGTACAGACCGGAACAAGTAATAATCCGAGTGTGCTCAATCTGGTGAATATGGTTGGTGTGATAGCACCTCCCATCTAAGTTATAACAGTTTCTGATGAGTTACCAAACTTGTGTGAAATTTGACATTGTCATAGTAAAACACTACACCTGTTTTGTTGATCAATTCTGGCTGCCTTTTCTGTTTGATGATATTACTCAATTTGTTTACTCAATGGCAGTACTCTTTTGAATCAATTGTTAAATTGTCTGGTAAAAGCTCCAAAAGAAAATTTTCTTAAAATCCCACCAAAGAGAGTATCTCTCTTTAAGAACATGTGGAACCCTTATATCAAGCTTTGAAACGAAACCAATTTGTTTCAAGTAATCATAAATGGTTCAATTTGACAGATTTTTATCTCTTAGTGATTTCACGTGTTGTTATTCGGCAGTTTGCTTCAATCAGTGCCTTTATTTTGTTTTCATTGGCTTCAACTGGCCATCCAGAACGTGGTGCATCTTCAATATTGAAATTGCCAGAACGAAATTTTGTAAACCAGTTTTGGCACTGTCGTTCTGTCAATACATCTTCTCCATACACATCACACAATTTTTTTCTCGCTTGAACAGCATTTTGATTTTTTGGTAATAAAAAAGCAAAATATGCCAAAAATGCTGCTTTCAATCTTCCATATTTGATGGGACACAAAAAATAAACAATTGCATGAAATCAAACAAAATTTTTTACAAATAAGCCTTAAAATTCTAGCTGTCGAAATATATAATGATAATATGGTTTAGAATGAAAATGGCGGGAAAAATACGACTAATCCATCTAGTGGTAAAAAAAACAACCTAATATATTTATATTATATAATAAAATCATGGTACAGAATAAAAAAGTACAGAACTGCAACTCCCATGCATTTTGCAAAACCTACATTTTGGCTCCCACTGAACTCTTGCTTGCCCATCCCTGGTATATGACATTAGATGTCTCCTGCCAAAACTCATTTTACAAAAGAGTGTAGAGTCAGAGAACCTGTGTTCTGTGGAATATACCGTATTAGCCCGAATATAACGCTATATTTTTCTACCATTTATTTTCCGTTAAAAAATCGACTTGCACTAAATTCGGGGTTTAAGTAATCGAATGTAATATAAACAAGGACATTTTCCTACAGAGGTTGCCTGTGTTATTAGCTATACAATAGAGCGTCGTTTATCTGAAAGCTGGTTATCCGAAAGCATTCCAGTCGGCAAATTTAAATTTTCGCTAGTGCTGTGACGCTGCAATCTTCGGCTATTTCTTGGGTTACTCAAATATTTTACGTTTTTGATACTAAATTAACATTTGAAGTATAATTTTTTATTGTTTTTATATTTTTCAATATATTTATTTTGTTTGTACATAATAAAAAAATAATTTTTAACGATACAATAGTCTTCGTTAGGCTTAACATCGACGAAAATTCAACGCGAAGCGACACGCAACGGAGAAAAATTTTAACATGAGATAAATTAATATTTTTTTTCGTACATGATTCGTTATCCGAAAAATAAGTTATTCGAACCACCCCAGTCCCCAATTGATTTGGATAAATGACGCTCTACTGTAATTACATAAATAAACGCTTATCTGATTGAATTTTACTTTCTTTGAATTCTTTTATGAGTATTATTTTTTTCCTAAACATCTTTATGAAAATTTTGGAGTCGCGTTAAATTCGGGGTCGCGTTATATTCGGGCTAATACGGTAGGTTAAAAACCTCTCCATAAAAAAAACTTTAAAAATGGAGTATACAACGAGTAAGTATAGTACACGAAAAGCTGGATGCATTGACATACCCCATACTGTTTCCTGGAGGAGACAACGTATGGACAACCACAATTGCAAGAGTAAAGAAGAATGAGGCACAGACATGAGAAAGAATAAGTATGCAGGAATATTTCTCTTACAGATTGTCTCCTCAATATGATGAACTTAATCCAATATTGAGTGTGGGAAAATTGAAACAATACATGGTGGATGCTTATATGAGAGCTGAGGCAAACGACTTGAACTGGGTGAAAAATAATCAGTCAACATTGAGATCAGAGAAATATAATGGTTTAATGGATGCGATAGAACGGGATGAGGAAGTTCATGGGAGGAATAACCTGATAGGAAAAGCAGTTATACTGCCTTCAAGTTTCCAGGGTGGAGTACGAAACATACAGCAGTATTACCAAGATGTTATGGCCATTGTCACAAAGTATGGAAATCCTGATTTATTTGTTACAATGACTTGCAACCCAAAATGGAAAGAAATAACTGAAAACCTCAAACCTTGGAAAAAAGCTGAATTCAGACCTGACTTGGTCACACAAGTATTTAACTTGAAACTTAAACAACTTCTTGATGACATTACAAATAAGCATAAGTCATTATTTGGGAAGGTTGTTGCTCATGTTCATGTGATTGGGTTTCAGAAGAGATGTCTTCCACATGCACACATTCTGATCATCTTAGACAAGGATGAAAAAATTACCACTCCGGAAGATATTGATAAAATTGTGAAAGCAGAGATTCTAGATAAAGAGACTTCGCCATGACTTTTTGAAATAGTCATGAAACATATGATCCATGGACCATGTGGGAAGAGAAACCCTTAATGTCCCTGCATGGTTGACAGTTATTGCACGAAGAAGTTTCCAAAGTCCTTCTGTGATGCTACGCTTGGAAATTTGGATGGATATCCATATTATAGACGACAGAATCAAGGATCTGTTGAAATGAATGGGAAGTTGATAGATAATAGCTGGGTTGTTCCTTACAATCCATACTTATTACTAACATATAATTGTCATATAAATATGGAGATCTGTTCATCAGTAAAGAGTGTGAAGTACTTATACAAGTATGTATACAAAGGTCATGATTGTGCAAACCTTTGTGTTACTGAGAAAAACGAAACAGATGAGACAAAGGAGTATGTGGACTCATGATATGTGAGTGCACCGAAAGCAATTCATTGAATTTTTAGATTCAAGATGCATGATCAGTCGCACACTATCTATAGACTACCAGTACATCTGCAAAATCAACATATAGTGTACTTTCAAGGGAAATGAACAGGTGGCTGCAGATTGAGCTCAGAGGAAAGATACGAAATTGACAGGATGGTTTAAGTTGAATGTAGTAGATGAAACTGCGCATGACTTTACTTATTCCGAAATAACCAAACACTTCGTTTGGAAGGATACGACTGCAAAGTGGGAAAGGAGATAAACGGGAGGAGAGAAAGTAATTGGGAGAATGGTGAATGTAAGTATTAAAGACCCAGAAAGATACTATCTTCGATTACTTTTATGCCACAAAAAGGCAGTGACATCTTTTCAACACTTATGAACAATTGTGGTGAAAGAGTCCATTCAGGTAGGTACCTTTCAAGAGGCTGCGAAGCACAAGGGATATCTTTTAGATGACACAATTCATGAAGCCATTGTTTATACAATGCCATTCCAGCTTATGCAAACGTTTGCCTATATCTGTGCTTATGGCCTTCCCTCAGATGCTATATGCCTATATCTGTGCTTATGGCCTTCCCTCAGATGCTCTTAAGTTATAGAATGATAATTTACAGTACTTGACAGAGGACATTTGCTATGAGTGATATCTCAAACAGGGTGAATGTCAAAGATGTGCCGAGATGAACTTAAGGATGTAAAAGATACCCTGACTCTTCTTGGTCATTCACTCTGCAATTTCAATTTACCTGATGTGGGCTATGATTTGCCAAGTATGAATCAGATTATCTATAATTCAGACGTTGAGCAGGAGGCCGCAGATGAGATAATTAGATCTTTGAATGACGACTAACGACAAGCATTCACAATGATAATCAACGCTGTGAATGATGAAGCGATCTACCCTAAATGTTTTTTCCTGGTTGGACCCGGAGGAAGTGGGAAGACATATTTGTATTGAACTCTTCTTCATTACTTTTGAGCAAGGAATGAAATTGTCATCCCCACAGCATCAACCGGAATTGCGGCAAACTTGCTTAGTGGAGGTAGAACTTAACATTCTCTGTTTAAGTTACCATTAGAAGTCAATGAGACATCCATTTCAAACCTGGGTTTGGAGTCGAAAGATGGAAGAGATATTAGAGTAGCGAAGTTGCTTATCGTGAATGAATGCACCATGGCATCGAGCCATGCTATGAATGCCATCGACAGAATTCTAAGAGAGGTAACTGGACATCAAATTCCATTTGATGGGAAGGTAATGTTACTTGGAGGTGACTTTCAGCAATGCTTAAACATTCTCCAGCACACAATGCGACCAGCGATTGTCCAGTCTGGACTTAAGTATTGCAATTCTTGGAGCTACTTTAAGAAACTCACATTGCATACCGATATGAGATCACAGGACCCTAAATATAGTAAATGGCTGTTGAAATTGGGAAACAGCACTTTGGGGAATTTTTTTGAACTTGAACACACTATTGAAGTTCCCCTGAATTTCTTTGTGAAAATGATTTGGTGAAGGAGGTATTTGGCGTGCAAATAACTCCTATGATACCAACAATTAAAAATAGGGCTATAAAATATATATAGGGCATTACTTTGCCCTAAAAATGCTGACATCGACAGAATCAATGTTGAAGTTTTGAAACTTTTACATGAGCATGGGGAAAAACTTATTACAGCTATGATGAGCTACAAACTGATTATCACTAGGAACGATTAAATTACCCAATCGAGTACCTGAACAGTGTATGTGCAACTGGATTACCTCCTCATGAACTCCACTTGAAGGTTGGAACTATCATAATGCCGCTGAGGAATCTTAACACAAAAAGGGAATTGTGTAATGGAACTCGATTAGTCATGATGAGTTTGAGAGATCATGTCATTGAAGCTGAAGTGCTTACTGGGTCTGGATTGGGACAGATAGTCCTTATACCACGAATTGATTTGACAAATTATGGTTCTGATTACCCATTCACCCTGAAACAAAGACAGTTTCCTGTGAAGGCTTCGTTTGTGATGACCATCAATAAGTCACAAGGACAGACCCTTGACAAGGTTGGAATTTTTTTGTCTGAATCCGTTTTTGGACATTGACAACTTTACGTTGCTTTCTACAGAGTAAGGAGAGCAACCAATGTGAAAATCAAGATACTGAAAATTTCAGAACAAGGCAAATTGATTCAAAATAATAATAATTTTTTTACCAAAAATGTTGTGTATAGAGAAGGTTTATGACAGGATAAATGACGGAATACAGAATACAGTTAAAGAATATCTTCAGTCTGTAATACAGAAATACTGTTTGCTGTGTATTGATCTGTTAACATTAGTTTTTAACGTGAAGATTTATATATATACTTATACTTGATTTTTTAATTACAGTAGAGTGTCGTTTATCCAAATCAATTGGGGAATGGGGTTATTCGGATAACTTATTTTTCAAATAACCGATTATGTACGAAAAAATATATTAATGTTGAAATTTTTCTCCGTTGCGTATTGCTTTGCATTGAATTTNAAGTATGAAAAAATCCATTATTAGTGTAGTATATTAGTATATCCCATGTAATTAGTATATTAGTATATTGTTATTAACCTACTTTGCATTGAATTTTCATCAATGTTAAGCCTAACAAAAATTTTTTTAAAATAATAATCGTCACTATTGTATCATTAAAAATTAGAAAATAAGCCTCGTTTAAATACTGGTTCCCTTTCATGGTCGAGCCAGTGTTGCCAGTTAAAACACGTAAAAATAATATTAAAGTAGCCAAGACATAGCCAAATATTGTAGCACCACATCACTAGCNGCTACGCTTGGAAATTTGGATGGATATCCATATTATAGACGACAGAATCAAGGATCTGTTGAAATGAATGGGAAGTTGATAGATAATAGCTGGGTTGTTCCTTACAATCCATACTTATTACTAACATATAATTGTCATATAAATATGGAGATCTGTTCATCAGTAAAGAGTGTGAAGTACTTATACAAGTATGTATACAAAGGTCATGATTGTGCAAACCTTTGTGTTACTGAGAAAAACGAAACAGATGAGACAAAGGAGTATGTGGACTCATGATATGTGAGTGCACCGAAAGCAATTCATTGAATTTTTAGATTCAAGATGCATGATCAGTTGCACACTATCTATAGACTACCAGTACATCTGCAAAATCAACATATAGTGTACTTTCAAGGGAAATGAACAGGTGGCTGCAGATTGAGCTCAGAGGAAAGATACGAAATTGACAGGATGGTTTAAGTTGAATGTAGTAGATGAAACTGCGCATGACTTTACTTATTCCGAAATAACCAAACATTTCGTTTGGAAGGATACGACTGCAAAGTGGGAAAGGAGATAAACGGGAGGAGAGAAAGTAATTGGGAGAATGGTGAATGTAAGTATTAAAGACCCAGAAAGATACTATCTTCGATTACTTTTATGCCACAAAAAGGCAGTGACATCTTTTCAACACTTATGAACAATTGTGGTGAAAGAGTCCATTCAGGTAGGTACCTTTCAAGAGGCTGCGAAGCACAAGGGATATCTTTTAGATGACACAATTCATGAAGCCATTGTTTATACAATGCCATTCCAGCTTATGCAAACGTTTGCCTATATCTGTGCTTATGGCCTTCCCTCAGATGCTCTTAAGTTATAGAATGATAATTTACAGTACTTGACAGAGGACATTTGCTATGAGTGATATCTCAAACAGGGTGAATGTCAAAGATGTGCCGAGATGAACTTAAGGATGTAAAAGATACCCTGACTCTTCTTGGTCATTCACTCTGCAATTTCAATTTACCTGATGTGGGCTATGATTTGCCAAGTATGAATCAGATTATCTATAATTCAGACGTTGAGCAGGAGGCCGCAGATGAGATAATTAGATCTTTGAATGACGACTAACGACAAGCATTCACAATGATAATCAACGCTGTGAATGATGAAGCGATCTACCCTAAATGTTTTTTCCTGGTTGGACCCGGAGGAAGTGGGAAGACATATTTGTATTGAACTCTTCTTCATTACTTTTGAGCAAGGAATGAAATTGTCATCCCCACAGCATCAACCGGAATTGCGGCAAACTTGCTTAGTGGAGGTAGAACTTAACATTCTCTGTTTAAGTTACCATTAGAAGTCAATGAGACATCCATTTCAAACCTGGGTTTGGAGTCGAAAGATGGAAGAGATATTAGAGTAGCGAAGTTGCTTATCGTGAATGAATGCACCATGGCATCGAGCCATGCTATGAATGCCATCGACAGAATTCTAAGAGAGGTAACTGGACATCAAATTCCATTTGATGGGAAGGTAATGTTACTTGGAGGTGACTTTCAGCAATGCTTAAACATTCTCCAGCACACAATGCGACCAGCGATTGTCCAGTCTGGACTTAAGTATTGCAATTCTTGGAGCTACTTTAAGAAACTCACATTGCATACCGATATGAGATCACAGGACCCTAAATATAGTAAATGGCTGTTGAAATTGGGAAACAGCACTTTGGGGAATTTTTTTGAACTTGAACACACTATTGAAGTTCCCCTGAATTTCTTTGTGAAAATGATTTGGTGAAGGAGGTATTTGGCGTGCAAATAACTCCTATGATACCAACAATTAAAAATAGGGCTATAAAATATATATAGGGCATTACTTTGCCCTAAAAATGCTGACATCGACAGAATCAATGTTGAAGTTTTGAAACTTTTACATGAGCATGGGGAAAAACTTATTACAGCTATGATGAGCTACAAACTGATTATCACTAGGAACGATTAAATTACCCAATCGAGTACCTGAACAGTGTATGTGCAACTGGATTACCTCCTCATGAACTCCACTTGAAGGTTGGAACTATCATAATGCCGCTGAGGAATCTTAACACAAAAAGGGAATTGTGTAATGGAACTCGATTAGTCATGATGAGTTTGAGAGATCATGTCATTGAAGCTGAAGTGCTTACTGGGTCTGGATTGGGACAGATAGTCCTTATACCACGAATTGATTTGACAAATTATGGTTCTGATTACCCATTCACCCTGAAACAAAGACAGTTTCCTGTGAAGGCTTCGTTTGTGATGACCATCAATAAGTCACAAGGACAGACCCTTGACAAGGTTGGAATTTTTTTGTCTGAATCCGTTTTTGGACATTGACAACTTTACGTTGCTTTCTACAGAGTAAGGAGAGCAACCAATGTGAAAATCAAGATACTGAAAATTTCAGAACAAGGCAAATTGATTCAAAATAATAATAATTTTTTTACCAAAAATGTTGTGTATAGAGAAGGTTTATGACAGGATAAATGACGGAATACAGAATACAGTTAAAGAATATCTTCAGTCTGTAATACAGAAATACTGTTTGCTGTGTATTGATCTGTTAACATTAGTTTTTAACGTGAAGATTTATATATATACTTATACTTGATTTTTTAATTACAGTAGAGTGTCGTTTATCCAAATCAATTGGGGAATGGGGTTATTCGGATAACTTATTTTTCAAATAACCGATTATGTACGAAAAAATATATTAATGTTGAAATTTTTCTCCGTTGCGTATTGCTTTGCATTGAATTTTCGTTGATGTTAAGCCTAACAAAAACTTTTTAAAATAATAATCATGGCTATTGTATCGTTAAAAATTATTTTGTTTATTTTGTATAAATAAAATAAATATATTGAAAAATATAGAAACCAAAAAATATATACTTTAGAAGTTGATCTACTATCAAAAATATTCAATACAACACGACACACAGTCCTCAGAAAAACATCACACAATACTGCCAGAGCTGCCAGCTAAAACACACACAACAACAAAAAAAATATTGGAGTAGCCCAAGATATAGCCAAAATTGCAGCGCCACAGCACTAATGAAAATTTAAATTTGCCGAATGGAATGCTTTCGGATAAACAATGCTCTATTGTATATTCTATTTATTTCAACAATTTTAAGTAAAGAATATCTTCACTTTCTAATGTAGAAATACTGTTTGCTGTTTGTGTATTGATTTTTTAAGTTTTAAGATGAAGAATTATATACATTTATATATATATATATATATATAATTTAATACATATATATATGTTTAATACATTAAACATAAATGTATTAAACATATGTTTTATGTTTTTTTTTTTTTTACATTAACACATTAAACATAATTTATGTTTAATGTGTAACATATACATATAGGTTATACATACATACATACACATATATATATATGTATGTATGTATGTATGTATACAATTCTTCATCTTAAAAACTTAAAAAATCAATACACAAACAACAAACAGTATTTCTATATTACAGACTGAAGATATTCTTTAACTGTATTCTGTATATATATATTAAGTGCATCAAACTTTTAAAAATTAAGCATACACAACTTTCATATATTAAGTGCATCAAACGTGCTTCATAGAAATTTGTAATGCTGCTAGAACGCCCACTAGGGGAAGTCCCGGGCTACTACAGTAGAGCCTTGATTATCCGACCCCCCGATTAACCGACCGTCCTAGTTGGCAAATTTCAAATGTCCGCTAGTGATGTGGCGCTACAATATTTGGGAAAAATGTTTTGGCTACTTTAATATTAGTTTTACATATTTTAGCTGGCAACACAGGATAGACCATGAAAGGGAGCGAGTATTTAAACAAGGCTTAATTTTCTAATTTTTAACGATACAACAGCGACGATGATTATTTTTTAAAATTTTTGTTAGGCTTAACATCGATGAAAATTCAACGCAAAGTAGGTTAATAGCGATATACTAATATACTAATTACATGGGATATAATAATATACAACACTAATAATGGATTTTTTCATAGTTTTTGGTTTTCCGACTTTTCAATTATTCGACCAACCCCAGTCCCCAATTGAGTCGGATAATCGAGGCTCTACTGTAGTTTAATATAATCCAATAAATGATCTGGCAGATGTTATTTTATTTATGTTTTAAATTTAAAAATTTTATTTCAAAAATGTTTTACATCATTCTGATTTGTTTGTATAAGTGAAAGTGGAGGATGGAGAGATAATTTAATCTAAAACATTAAAATTTTTGACTTTGGTTCATTTATTCTGAATTACAAGTATGATTTATTCCTTTAAATAACTTAATATATTTATAAGTTGCATATATGTTAATTTTATTAATAATAAAAGCAATTTCCAAAACTTACCTCAAATTCATCAAATACTGCTCTGTGATGAAAATAAGCATGAGAAAATATTCTATAAACTCTTCGACAAACTGAACCTAATTTTGCTACTGATGACTCTTTGATGCTAACCCTATTATTTGAAAAAAAAATCAACTTGTTTTTATTTGTTTTGATGCTTTAAAATAAATATTAAATACACTACTATCATGTCACATTTAATATTTACTCTAAAAATTATTTCACTATTTACAATATTACCCAATATAAACCACTAATAAATTCCATAAAAATATTTCTCAGTACTAAATTTCAAGAAAAATGAATTTAGAAAAAGTGTTTGAATAAATTTAAAATTTATAGTAGAAAATGTTTTAATGGAGTAAGAATAACTAAAACAAAAAGAACAAGTGCAATCACTTTCAAGTATTAATTACTCATCATTAATTAAGAATCATACTCAAAAAGAATTAAAATTATTTCAAGATGAAACAAATTCATATTTAAAACTTATATCTTACACTACTCTTATGTCAGTTATATTTAATATTTCATTTTGTGTACAATTTGATTATGATAAATGCTACATTATCGTAATCATACAAACAGATTTAAATTTGTGTGTTCTGAAATAATTTTTACTCTATTCTGCATATGTGGTTCCTAATAATGAGTAATTAATGCTTGAAAACACTTGAGTCTTTATGCATTTCCTACTTAACTAAATCATTTTTTTTTACTAACTTTTCTTTATTTTTGAACTATTAATCTTATAAAGAGAGAAATATTAGCATGACATGTGGATCATTAATTGTGTAAAAAACATTTGTCTAATTCCAAGTACCAAGTCTGGAAATGTAAACTTTATCATGCTAAATGCATTAAATGTTATCTATAGTAAATAGTTTTAAGCTGTATGTTAATTAACTGTGTTCAAAATTTGAAATTTCCAAATGTTTAATACATCAGAATAGCATAGAATACACACACAAAAAATACAGCAAATAGTATAACTTTCCTGGCAAAAAAAGTTAAAATTGTGTATGGTGCCATATTTTATATACATACAGTATATATAAACACACACATACACACAATAAATTTGAACTTTGCAAAATTATAATGCAAAATTTTATGCATTAACATCAAAAATTACAAATTCTTTACAAATTCTTAAAACTAAATATGTAAAAANTGCTATGAGTGATATCTCAAACAGGGTGAATGTCAAAGATGTGCCGAGATGAACTTAAGGATGTAAAAGATACCCTGACTCTTCTTGGTCATTCACTCTGCAATTTCAATTTACCTGATGTGGGCTATGATTTGCCAAGTATGAATCAGATTATCTATAATTCAGACGTTGAGCAGGAGGCCGCAGATGAGATAATTAGATCTTTGAATGACGACTAACGACAAGCATTCACAATGATAATCAACGCTGTGAATGATGAAGCGATCTACCCTAAATGTTTTTTCCTGGTTGGACCCGGAGGAAGTGGGAAGACATATTTGTATTGAACTCTTCTTCATTACTTTTGAGCAAGGAATGAAATTGTCATCCCCACAGCATCAACCGGAATTGCGGCAAACTTGCTTAGTGGAGGTAGAACTTAACATTCTCTGTTTAAGTTACCATTAGAAGTCAATGAGACATCCATTTCAAACCTGGGTTTGGAGTCGAAAGATGGAAGAGATATTAGAGTAGCGAAGTTGCTTATCGTGAATGAATGCACCATGGCATCGAGCCATGCTATGAATGCCATCGACAGAATTCTAAGAGAGGTAACTGGACATCAAATTCCATTTGATGGGAAGGTAATGTTACTTGGAGGTGACTTTCAGCAATGCTTAAACATTCTCCAGCACACAATGCGACCAGCGATTGTCCAGTCTGGACTTAAGTATTGCAATTCTTGGAGCTACTTTAAGAAACTCACATTGCATACCGATATGAGATCACAGGACCCTAAATATAGTAAATGGCTGTTGAAATTGGGAAACAGCACTTTGGGGAATTTTTTTGAACTTGAACACACTATTGAAGTTCCCCTGAATTTCTTTGTGAAAATGATTTGGTGAAGGAGGTATTTGGCGTGCAAATAACTCCTATGATACCAACAATTAAAAATAGGGCTATAAAATATATATAGGGCATTACTTTGCCCTAAAAATGCTGACATCGACAGAATCAATGTTGAAGTTTTGAAACTTTTACATGAGCATGGGGAAAAACTTATTACAGCTATGATGAGCTACAAACTGATTATCACTAGGAACGATTAAATTACCCAATCGAGTACCTGAACAGTGTATGTGCAACTGGATTACCTCCTCATGAACTCCACTTGAAGGTTGGAACTATCATAATGCCGCTGAGGAATCTTAACACAAAAAGGGAATTGTGTAATGGAACTCGATTAGTCATGATGAGTTTGAGAGATCATGTCATTGAAGCTGAAGTGCTTACTGGGTCTGGATTGGGACAGATAGTCCTTATACCACGAATTGATTTGACAAATTATGGTTCTGATTACCCATTCACCCTGAAACAAAGACAGTTTCCTGTGAAGGCTTCGTTTGTGATGACCATCAATAAGTCACAAGGACAGACCCTTGACAAGGTTGGAATTTTTTTGTCTGAATCCGTTTTTGGACATTGACAACTTTACGTTGCTTTCTACAGAGTAAGGAGAGCAACCAATGTGAAAATCAAGATACTGAAAATTTCAGAACAAGGCAAATTGATTCAAAATAATAATAATTTTTTTACCAAAAATGTTGTGTATAGAGAAGGTTTATGACAGGATAAATGACGGAATACAGAATACAGTTAAAGAATATCTTCAGTCTGTAATACAGAAATACTGTTTGCTGTGTATTGATCTGTTAACATTAGTTTTTAACGTGAAGATTTATATATATACTTATACTTGATTTTTTAATTACAGTAGAGTGTCGTTTATCCAAATCAATTGGGGAATGGGGTTATTCGGATAACTTATTTTTCAAATAACCGATTATGTACGAAAAAATATATTAATGTTGAAATTTTTCTCCGTTGCGTATTGCTTTGCATTGAATTTTCGTTGATGTTAAGCCTAACAAAAACTTTTTAAAATAATAATCATGGCTATTGTATCGTTAAAAATTATTTTGTTTATTTTGTATAAATAAAATAAATATATTGAAAAATATAGAAACCAAAAAATATATACTTTAGAAGTTGATCTACTATCAAAAATATTCAATACAACACGACACACAGTCCTCAGAAAAACATCACACAATACTGCCAGAGCTGCCAGCTAAAACACACACAACAACAAAAAAAATATTGGAGTAGCCCAAGATATAGCCAAAATTGCAGCGCCACAGCACTAATGAAAATTTAAATTTGCCGAATGGAATGCTTTCGGATAAACAATGCTCTATTGTATATTCTATTTATTTCAACAATTTTAAGTAAAGAATATCTTCACTTTCTAATGTAGAAATACTGTTTGCTGTTTGTGTATTGATTTTTTAAGTTTTTAAGATGAAGAATTATATACATTTATATATATATATATATATAATTTAATACATATATATATGTTTAATACATTAAACATAAATGTATTAAACATATGTTTTATGTTTTTTTTTTTTTTACATTAACACATTAAACATAATTTATGTTTAATGTGTAACATATACATATAGGTTATACATACATACATACACATATATATATATGTATGTATGTATGTATGTATACAATTCTTCATCTTAAAAACTTAAAAAATCAATACACAAACAACAAACAGTATTTCTATATTACAGACTGAAGATATTCTTTAACTGTATTCTGTATATATATATTAAGTGCATCAAACTTTTAAAAATTAAGCATACACAACTTTCATATATTAAGTGCATCAAACGTGCTTCATAGAAATTTGTAATGCTGCTAGAACGCCCACTAGGGGAAGTCCCGGGCTACTACAGTAGAGCCTTGATTATCCGACCCCCCGATTAACCGACCGTCCTAGTTGGCAAATTTCAAATGTCCGCTAGTGATGTGGCGCTACAATATTTGGGAAAAATGTTTTGGCTACTTTAATATTAGTTTTACATATTTTAGCTGGCAACACAGGATAGACCATGAAAGGGAGCGAGTATTTAAACAAGGCTTAATTTTCTAATTTTTAACGATACAACAGCGACGATGATTATTTTTTAAAATTTTTGTTAGGCTTAACATCGATGAAAATTCAACGCAAAGTAGGTTAATAGCGATATACTAATATACTAATTACATGGGATATAATAATATACAACACTAATAATGGATTTTTTCATAGTTTTTGGTTTTCCGACTTTTCAATTATTCGACCAACCCCAGTCCCCAATTGAGTCGGATAATCGAGGCTCTACTGTAGTTTAATATAATCCAATAAATGATCTGGCAGATGTTATTTTATTTATGTTTTAAATTTAAAAATTTTATTTCAAAAATGTTTTACATCATTCTGATTTGTTTGTATAAGTGAAAGTGGAGGATGGAGAGATAATTTAATCTAAAACATTAAAATTTTTGACTTTGGTTCATTTATTCTGAATTACAAGTATGATTTATTCCTTTAAATAACTTAATATATTTATAAGTTGCATATATGTTAATTTTATTAATAATAAAAGCAATTTCCAAAACTTACCTCAAATTCATCAAATACTGCTCTGTGATGAAAATAAGCATGAGAAAATATTCTATAAACTCTTCGACAAACTGAACCTAATTTTGCTACTGATGACTCTTTGATGCTAACCCTATTATTTGAAAAAAAAATCAACTTGTTTTTATTTGTTTTGATGCTTTAAAATAAATATTAAATACACTACTATCATGTCACATTTAATATTTACTCTAAAAATTATTTCACTATTTACAATATTACCCAATATAAACCACTAATAAATTCCATAAAAATATTTCTCAGTACTAAATTTCAAGAAAAATGAATTTAGAAAAAGTGTTTGAATAAATTTAAAATTTATAGTAGAAAATGTTTTAATGGAGTAAGAATAACTAAAACAAAAAGAACAAGTGCAATCACTTTCAAGTATTAATTACTCATCATTAATTAAGAATCATACTCAAAATAGAATTAAAATTATTTCAAGATGAAACAAATTCATATTTAAAACTTATATCTTACACTACTCTTATGTCAGTTATATTTAATATTTCATTTTGTGTACAATTTGATTATGATAAATGCTACATTATCGTAATCATACAAACAGATTTAAATTTGTGTGTTCTGAAATAATTTTTACTCTATTCTGCATATGTGGTTCCTAATAATGAGTAATTAATGCTTGAAAACACTTGAGTCTTTATGCATTTCCTACTTAACTAAATCATTTTTTTTTACTAACTTTTCTTTATTTTTGAACTATTAATCTTATAAAGAGAGAAATATTAGCATGACATGTGGATCATTAATTGTGTAAAAAACATTTGTCTAATTCCAAGTACCAAGTCTGGAAATGTAAACTTTATCATGCTAAATGCATTAAATGTTATCTATAGTAAATAGTTTTAAGCTGTATGTTAATTAACTGTGTTCAAAATTTGAAATTTCCAAATGTTTAATACATCAGAATAGCATAGAATACACACACAAAAAATACAGCAAATAGTATAACTTTCCTGGCAAAAAAAGTTAAAATTGTGTATGGTGCCATATTTTATATACATACAGTATATATAAACACACACATACACACAATAAATTTGAACTTTGCAAAATTATAATGCAAAATTTTATGCATTAACATCAAAAATTACAAATTCTTTACAAATTCTTAAAACTAAATATGTAAAAAATTAATTTAAAGATTACATTATAACTCTAATATATATATACTGACAAGATTTCTATATTTCAGAATGATCATAATTAAAGAATAAGTGTTCAGACAATCTGTTGAAAGAATATTGGGCAAATTTGGTATATAAATTGTCCTGAATATGTGATTTCAATTTTCAAGATAAAATTTTACTTCAAAATTCAGCTACTAGAGCAAAACTTGGCACTGCTGTCCTCAATGTGGATACTACATATATTTTCTAACAAATTTTGGAAGATAAGAAACAACTTGCAATATTTTTATTTCAATTACCCATGTGATCACAGATATGGAGTATGGAATTGACAATTACATCAAAGATATAGCTCCATGTGCTTTCCATCTCCATACTGTCTAAGTTTTTAATTATTAAAATAATATTAAAAATATATAAAATTTAATAAAACTTTGATGAAATCTTAGCTATCTCTTTTGCTTTCCCAACTCTTCATCTGAGGTGAAATGTTAAAAACAAACTGGTATTAAAAAATATTTTAAAACCATTACTATTTGTTATTTTCTTTATTTTTCATGTATATTTTTTAATACCAGTTTATTGTTTTTAACATTTCACCTCAGATGAAGAGTTGGGAAAGCAAAAGAGATAGCTAAAATTGTATATAATTTTAATAATCTAAAATCTGTATTTACTGCATGGCACACTTGATAATGGAATGCAACTAACCTGCATGGAGTTGTTAAACATGTGAAATTCTATTTTTTAAGACAGCTAGTCTGACAACATTACAGATAAATTAGGCATTTTAGATAACTCCACAAAAAGTCACAGGGATTCACATCTGATAATCATGGTATCCATAATGTTGAAGATGCTTAGCTAATCACTCTTTCATGTAAAAAATGTTGCTGCAGTAAGACTTGTACCAGTACATTTAAGCCAGTAAGCGATGATGCACCATGTTGCATAAAGATTGTGATATTCAGATAATTTAGCTACTGAAGTGCTGGAATGACAAAGTTTTGGAGTATATCTTCATATCTAATAACATTAACAGAACATGTCACTGATCCTAATGCTTAGTATTTTTCCAAAAAAAAAAAAAAAACAGAAACAAATAATAATAATAATAATAACCAATGATAAAGGATGCTGTGAAACCATGCCAAGCAATTAGCTTTAGTGAGCGCAATAAAATTTGTTCAAAATTTTCATTAGACCTAATATAGTAGTTGCGAGTGTTCACATTATCATTCAAATGAAAATTGGCTTAATTGCGCCATAGAATTTGTCAAGGTCAAGCATTATCAACCAGCATCCAAACTACGGATGGTTATGGCAAATGTTTTCCACTTATCATTATTCCTAAAAATCAATACTAGACTATAGGATACCTTACATGGATGAAAATTGCATTTTCATCCATTATCTGGATTCTCCTTTTTTAAACCTAGGTAATATTAACTAGCTTTCATTCATAAGCTTGTTGTCTTACTTTAAAGAGATCTGACTTCTGAAGTAATTTATTGTGCAGTGCATAATAAACCTCAAATAGATCAAAATGCTTCCACCTTTGCCATTCCTTACACAATTTACAGATCTAGATTTTCACAAAACTTTCTCCACTGTTGTTTAGGGCATGTTTAATTGATAATATTGTATATTCAATACTGCTATGATGAGAATTTTGTATACTTAACTGTAACAATCAGAGTGTGCTATTCCAGCAAAGAATTGGTTATCTGAAACATTTTTGACTCTATTCACAAGTCTACCTCAGATTCATGTAGAACAGTGTTTCTCAACGGGGGCGATATCGCCCCCATGTGGGCATTTTTCCATGTTGAGGGGGCAATTAGTAACAATTTATATTTTCAGGGGCGAAAAACAATTTTCTGGGCGATATAGTAAAACATTATATTAAGAATAATTAGATATTTTATTTGTTATATCGTACAATAATTAAACAAATAACATTATACTAGTCACTAGTCTATTCAATGCAATACAAATTTGGCGTTAGCCTTGGCCTCGGAATTTTGAAGTGAAGTGGGTGATACTACGTTGAAGGGGGCGACGATTCGTTAGAGGTTGAGAAACACTGATGTAGAACTTTCTAAACACTAAAACATCTTCCATACTGGTTCCAGCAGATACATTTATACAAAAAACAAATGTGTTCAACCACTTTCAGAGACTTTTGTCAAGTTTATATACATTTCTATAAATTGAATGCTATTACTTCAACAGCTTTTTCTTAAAAAAAAGTAACCTTCTATATGTCACAAGACAACATTCAAATTAAAAAAAAATTAACGTATGAAATGACAAAATATGACACATCAAAATTTTTAAACTGTATACAACTTTCTGTAATACAACTGGAGACATATAACATTTACAATTTTTTCTAGTAACACACCTACAGTATTAATAACTCATGATTAAGGAGACAATTTACAACAAATTTACAACAATGTTAATGTTCACTACAATTGGAAGTAACATATCATTGCTTGCCATACTTGCCTTAGATTAATGTTTTCTTTATTATTAATGCAACCTCCCTTGAATATTGCTTTATAAATTTTAATAGTTTATATTATCCTTAGCTGTTGTATATCAAAGATAGGGTTTCTCATTTCCCAGTGTTTTCTTGTCCTGAGATTTCAGGAAAAAAGTGAACTGTTTCCCTGCATCCAGAATATAATTATTTTTAATTATATCCCAAGATATAATTTATAAAATAAATCTTAAAATCAAACAATATAATTATTTTTCATTTTTTAAAGTAATTTAATACATTCTGCAACCTCCAAAATCATAATAATGCTGAGTAAAATATGTATTAAAAATTACATTTGAATTAGATAGAAATTTTCACAAATAAAAAAAATTTATTAAAGTTTGTTGGAAACTGATTACAAATGCCTTTGAATTGAGTTGAAAATTTAAAGAAAAAAATGAACTTAGATTAAACTTCTAACTTAGAAGATATTTTTGTTTTTTAAATAAAACAATACAAAATATTATTCACAGAAATTAAAACACCTTAATTTGTTGCCGAGAAATATATTTGAAAAACAAACGTTTTCAACCTGATTAACAGGCCATCATCAGGTCTAAAAAACGAAAATGGAACAGATACGTTCCATGTATAGAATATAAATATTTAAATCAAAATTTAGAACAAAAATTTTTAAAAATATACAAGAGAAACGGAAGCAAATATAAAATTAACATAAAATAAAATTAAAATATACAAGAGAATATATAAAAATAACACAAAATAAACTAAAAAATAAAAAATATAATAAATCTTCCAATAAACTAATTCTAGCTTGAGTTTTTAGTGAACTTTTTAAT